AGCTATCTGCGCTAGCCGTCCCTAATTTAGCAGTGTAAGACTAGAGGGAAGGCAGCTAGTTATCACCACCCACCGCCAACTCTTGGGCTACTCTTTTACCAACGAGTAGTGGGATTGACCGTCACATTATAACGCCCCCACGGCTGAAAGGGCGAGCATGTTTGGTGGGACGGGGATTCGAACCCGCGACCCTCAGATTGCGAGTCGAGTGCTCTAACCACCTGGCCATGCCGGGCCACGCACAGAAAGCACGCTAATAAAACTGTGATCGAGAGAGCTATAATTTCTTGTGATACGTGTCATACACTGAGCAGGGGCGTTTATAAGACTTCAAAGTATTCGGTGCAAATTTTCGTAAAGGAGGGGGGCGTTAATATTGATCAGCTATAAAAGTTCGAATTTATTTTCATATTAAAATACAATAAATAAAGAGTTTTCTTATATACAATATATATGTAAATATAAATAGATATAGAAAAACAATGTTGATGAAACATCTTACAATATTTTATATTACTAGGACCCCGCAATAAGAGTGGCCCGTCAGTGCATTGCACCGACGTTAGAATCGCCCCTGACACCGAGGTGCCAAAAGATTTTCTTAATACTACCTTTCTTTTTTCTTTACCCTAAAATGTTTTCCTTACAACTACTTAAGTTGAGATTGTGATAAATATTTTAAATGTGTCCTACGGTAGATTATGGAATACGTTTAACGAGTTTAGTAAGAATAGTATAATTGAAAACTTCAGGTGTGTACATACACATTTGATGTGATAACCTATGGCATAAAAGTTCGTGTAAAATGTTCCACTGTCTGATTGGCGTAGAGGATATTTTCACAGATTGGCTCATGGTATAAGATCAGTGGTAATATTCCTGAATGAATTATCATAAGCGCAAGAGTCCTGGGAAGTAAGTCCTTTTAGGTTTTAAAGGGCAATTGTTAAACAAAGGAAACAACTGAAAAAAGGAATTACGTCCTATAGATGGTGGCCTGACATCGAAAGAAAACAAATGGAAAAAGAATTACATCTTAGAAAAGGTGGCCTGACATCGAAAGGAAACAAGTGGAAACGGAATTACATCTTAGAAAAGGTGGCCTGCTATCGAAAGGAAACAAATGAAAAAAAAATACATCCTAGAAAAGGTGACCTGACATCGAAAGGAAATAAGTGAAAAAAGAATTACATCCTAGAAAAGGTGGCCTGACATCGAAAGGAAACAAATGAAAAAAGAATTACAGCCTAGAAAAGGTGACCTGACATCGAAAGGAAACAGGTGAAAAAGAATTACAGTCTAGAAAGGGTGGCCTGACATCGAAAGGAAACAAGTGAAAAAGGAATTACATCCTAGAAAAGGTGACCTGACATCGAAAGGAAACGAGTGAAAAAAGGAATTACATCCTTGAAAAGGTGACCTGACATCGAAAGGAAACAGGAGAAAAAGGAATTACAGCCTAGAAAAGGTGACCTGACATCGAAAGGAAACAGGTGAAAAAGAATTACAGCCTAGAAAAGGTGGCCTTGTTCAGTTTTGCAGTCTTGAGGATACGTATTTGTGTTACATAATAACATGAATTTTACAACATTTACTTCCTTTATTTGAGCTAACTAACCTACTGGCTTACTCTGTACTAATGAGAGCTTTAAAACTTACCACATAATCCATATTAAAAACTGCCCACTTGTCCTACGAGAATATAAGAAACGTCAGTGAATTGGTATTACTATTGTTGTTTTTAAATTCACATTTTATTGTTTTAAATTAATTTTCATCTGGGTTTTATTCTGCTCTTTATCGATTTGATTTATTTGTATCTGAGAAAATACCAGAAACTACTGTATTTATGAATTCGCTTAACGTAAATAATTAGGAAAAGCTGGTTAGAAACAAAACGCCCTTCTAAAACCACTAAATTTAAAGTCTGTTCATCTCCTTTTTACGGGGTGATATTCTATTAATATATTTTTCTGATGTATAATGTTTTGTTCTTCAGCTCATGCTTTGTTCATCATATTTAAACAAGTGATTATAGTTTCGATAATCTAAAAATATCACTTACCCGATCAGATCCCCAAAATTCGTCGTATTGCATGTTGTTTTTCATAACCAAAGACATAGAGTAATTTACGGTACACAGAGCTTGCTACTTAAGCTGTCAATATCAGTATCATCTTGTTGAAAGCAGATATTCCGTTTCTGTCTCTAACTCGTGAGAAACTTTTCACTACGTCATGTTATCATATTTCTAGCTGTGCGAATAAATATTTGTTCTTGTAGGATACATGATACTACAAAAATTTTTTATGAAGTATCTATACCAGTTTTTAACTGTAAAAATCATCAATTCAACATATGTTATCTCTGAAAAGGGGGAGAATGTTTAATGGATAAGCCTAAATGCAAGTACTCTAGTTTGTGATCTCTATGTAAAAACATGTTGATGATTTGACATTTGAACTTCAGCGAGACCATGAACATTAGTAATACACAAAAATAGTTTATTGATATACTTTCAAACAAATCCGCTTTACTGTTTTACACGATCAAAAAATGAATTTTGTTACAAACGGCAACAAAATAAATAGAGACTTTCCTGACTTTTCTGATAACTCAAAAATGATAGAAAAAGTATTTTTTAGTCTGATGATTCCAGACGTGTCATTAATCCTTTCAATTAGAGAAAAATGAATATGTTAAATCACTTGGTTTCTATGATGTGACGAACCTTGAATATAGGTTCGAACAATACCGATGAATATAATAATTGTTTGTTGTAAATATCTTTTTAATTTTTTTTGTAAATATCTTTTTAATTTTTTGTAAATATTTTTAATTTTTTTTAAATATATTTTTAATATTTTAAATTCTCCCTTTCTTCCAGCACTGTCCACTGAAATGTCTTAAAATTACACAAATTATAACAGTGGCGGAATCAATAAAAGGCTTAGGTTTTAATTTCAAATTCTCTCACGTAAAGTGCATAAACACGTAAATACACAGGCTAGCTTCATAAGTATGTATATATCATGGCATAACGACTTCTCGCGCATGTATTTCTCTGTAGGTACATTTCACGCTCTCATTAAAAATTTCTGCGTTCATATTTATATTATTATTCTGTTCGTGTATCTACGTGGTTACACATGCTTTGAGAGCAGTAACCTTTAATCAACTCGTCGCTGGTTGGTCCGTTTGTATCGATTTATATTAACTGTTCCTTCAAAGCTCATTGCTTACACTTGAAGCATGTATTTTGAGCTTTCGTTTTTACATTTTCAACCTTACCTCTCTCACACAGGAAATCCCATATATATGTAAGACGAGTTAGGAACATGTTTTTATAAAACTGTTTCAAGGAATAGGAACAACAGATGATATATATATATGTATATAGGGGAAAAAAACGTTTTTCTCGAATGGAAATAGCTTACATTAATATTCATTTGTAAAGATATCTGGAAAGTATGATATATCGATTTGTGTATTTTTAACATCAGGCACACAAAATTGTCATTTGTTTTATTTATTTGCGGTAATCGCTTCCTCTTGACCCGGCGTGGCCAGGTGGTTAAGGCACTCGACTCGCAATCTGAGGGTCGCGGGTTCGAATCCCTGTCACACCAAACATGCTCGCCCTTTCAGCCGTGGGGGCGTTATAATGTGACGG